GTACTTGAGCCAACTGGTGGCTGGATGTTCTCGGTGATGACTGGCGTACACAGCGGAACACTCACCACAGCGGAAAACCACTCAACTCCGAAACTCCCCGAAATGCGAAAAAAGAGCTCTCAACTTCAATTAAAGTGAAGCAACAGCCCAAACCAAAATCACCCAAACCAACCAGTGGTTTAATGACTTAAGAAAAATTCCTGGTCACTACTAAAAACCCATGGAACAAGCCCAAATCAAAGAAACGCTTTGGAACTGCCAGAGATCGGTTATGAGCCTCCAGACCGCTGAACTTCAGCGTACCGGCGTTGAAGTTCAGCGCAGCCTATGTTCAGCAGCCCAAAAACTTTCTCCTAAAAGGCAAAATCCACTCAAATCAACTATGATTGAGATGAAATTTGGCAGAGGTAAAGATACATGTTAGGAAGACAATCCCAAAGTTTGAAGACCAAAAGACCAAGGGAACTCCGTAGATCGGGAAATCTCCGGACTAGATCGGGGTTTTCTCAACTTTCCTCAAAATTCAGCCAAATCGTGCTCGTGAGGAATATGACCAAATGGGCTTGCAAATATGTCACGTGTCAGCACATATTCATCAACTCCAAACAGTCCCAAAATCTTAGAATTACGAAATCCACCAAAATCCGAAAGAGAAGGGATCGGGAGAGGAAAAACCAAATCGAGTCACAAACTCAACTCAAAAACTCAGATTTTGAAGTCAGGAGGACAAGAAGAGGTTAGGGCCTCCATTTCCACGAGATTCCACTAAATACAAGGTCCAAGGACGCAGATGACAAGTTCTGCTGTGAAGAATTCATCTGTGGATCTCACTAGCAGTCCAGGGGAAGGGAAAGCTACAAGGAGAACATGAAAATGACTTAGCCTAGAGAGATGGCTAGTTGGGGGCAGTCTCTATCTTATTTATAAAGCTATTACACATTTCTAACAATACCCTCGGATATTTAGCTGAACCACTTAACCCTAGGGGCATAATGGTCCAACTTGAGATCCGCTGATCCGAAGGCCAAGTGCCCTTCATAACTTAGCTTCGCCTCGACGCAAGCCTCGCGATGACACCACGTGTCGCCTCCGATTCCCATCGGAACCGCACCCGGGTTTTGAGGCCCAAACCCGAAAACCGTCCACTGGTGATTTTTGAGGCCCAAACCACCAAACCACTCACAGGTAGCGTACTCCACATGCTCGCCCCATGAACTTGACACATGCCACTGTTGTCCTTGACCGTCAGCGCCACTGCTTGACTCGCCCGACCGCCGTCTTGACTTGGTCAACACGATCAACTCCTCATGTACTCTTGCACTTGTTGATGACCATAGGTGTCAGCCACCTATGGTCGGTCCAATCCTCGGCATCTGTCCTTCTCCGCTCCTAGTCCATCAGCATGAACCCGCTTGACCTTCACCTTCGTCGTCGACCACCGTCTCCAAGCTCCACACCTGCGCACCACAAGACAAGACACATGTTGCACAACCCAAACTCACGCCTTGGTTAGTTCAACAACTCAACCCAAAGCACTACTCACATTGACAACCACTCATCACAAACCGAACCACATGGTTACATATCGACCCTGTGTTCGCATTGGATCCATAAATCAAAGAGACTTGATGAGGACATGGTTTTACTCTATGCAAAAGCAAAGAAATCTCCTTTTGAAAAAAGTTATTTTTGCTTTCCTTATTCGCTGGAATTCCTTTGAATATGAGGTCGCTTCTTGGTGTCCAAATTATCCAACTCATAATGATGATTGTGTTCATGAAGAAGGGAGACCCGGCATTGTTCTTGATGAACGACATTGATAACATAAGTTGAACCCAACTCTAAGATAATAATTCTTAGAAAGTAAACTACAGAACCAAAAGAGAGTGATAGGAAGACTTAATTTTTTCACTAGATATCGAAGTTTTGGAACTCTTTAGTAGGCCTCATTGGAGCACCTAAAATAATTTTTAGTGCGCAAACCTAGTTTCCGAACGAGCAAGCGATGAAGCTTCGGCGCGCGCACCTCGAGGGCCATCCGATGTGCGTGAGGAAGAAGGAGGCCGCCTGATTCGCCGCGCTTGCGCCTGCCCGCGCCCGCCGTCTGCGTCTGCTCCCGCTCCTACGCCTGTCCTCTCTCTTCCCTACCTCCGACGCCGCCTAGGGTTTCGGCGAGCCACGCCGCCCCTTCTTCTCCAACTTCAGCAGGTATAGAAGGGGCCGGACGGGGGGAGGTAGACCGGCCAGGCGTTGGGGATGGTCTGTGGGTGGTTTAGGGGAGCTAGCGGCAGGAGCGGTGGTCAGGCCAGGTCAGGGCAGGGGCACCATGGCCGCATGTGGGAGGGGCGGGGGGGAGGGGGAGGAGGAGGTCGCCGCTGACGGTAGGGTCTCACCGGAGCTCCACGGTCGTGGAGCTCTGGCGAGACGCTAATGTTGGTGGTGGGGCGGTGGGAGGTGGTGGAGGCAGGGGCGGGGGCACTCACCGGAGCGAAGGGCGACGCTGGAGCTAGGCAGGGTAATGAGGCGGCGAGAGGAAGAAGAAGAATAGTGCACATAAGGGAGGGGGAAGGAGAGAGAGTGTGCGGGCGGAGGTGCCTGTGCGTGCGCGAGCACATTCTAGTAAGGCCCTTTTTAATTTTTAGTGAGCTCATATCATTGTTATTGAGCTTAACAACATAGCTAGTTCACGATGACCATTGTTCCATGTTTAGCAAAACAAAAACATTTCATGTTCCCATTGAAATTGTCATAATTTTTTTCCCATTTTAGGCGGATACTATAAAGATGACAGATGCAGGCAAGCGTGTACAAATCGACTCAACCACTACAGCCAGAAGCCACATCCATTATAAAATGGTCCATTATAAAATGTAAATGGTTTTAGTTTTATCCTACGTCAAGTTTCTTTAATTTTAACAAAGTAAAAAGATATTTTAACAACTATGATATTAAATAAATACACTCCTAGAGCTGCCCGGAGAAAATACGGCCCACGGTGGACGTGCACCACCCGCTCTCCCAAGAAGAGCAAGCGGATAGCGGCGCAGAGCATATCACATATCCCGACGTCCAAGCAGGGTGAGCACCTTGTCCTGAAGCGCCTAGGACTAACCAGCGGGATATCGTCTCCGTCCACGTCGGCTATGAAGGCGTACGAAGAAATCTATAGCAACGACCCCGGTAATATGCAGGCGACGTCAGTGCGTGCAAGCAGCGCCGCCGCTTGGTGGCCTAGGCATAGGCCTCCTATCCGGCACCGAGTTTCGGGTTGATAGTGTCCAAATGTAATAGCGTAGGCTTCAGTACACTAGGGAGGGTCTAAGCGTCCATGTATAACTCTTCTGATCACCTAGGGCGCCGCCAAGGCGTGTTGTATTAAAGTTTTATTCCACCTTAATACAAAGATGTGCAAACCTTTTGCGTGGTCGAGAAAACAATAAATACACTATCAAGAAATTTTAGATGCATATTGTTCTTCTGTATTGTATTGTGTACATTCATTGTAGACGCATGAAAGATTTTTTTTGATAAATAAGAATTTGCTATTGAAGAATAAATATTACTCCCTCCAGTAATAAATGGGCGTGGCTAGCGCCCAGACTTCTGGACGCTAGACCCCTGCCCGGACGCCCGCACTGCTGCCCCCGTCCGTGTCCCACCACTATCCCAGTGTCCCCCCACATCTCGTCTGCTACGCTCACCCGCAAGCACATGGGACCTGTCCGCACCAGTGGGGACTACCTCCGCCTTCCCACGCTTAACACCGAGGCGAGACAGCAGAAAGGCGAGGAGGAAGATGCAATAATCGATCTAGTTTTGAAACATCCGGATACAACAAATGCAACATACGTCTAAAAACAAATAAAACATTTGAAACATGCGTCTGAAACACTTGCAAAAACACTTGTAAAATATTTGAAAACCTTTGCAACACGTACACAACATCCAGATAAAAACATTTGCAACATATGCGTGAAACATATGCAACTTCCAGATAAACACACTTGCAACATATATCTAAAAAACGGATGAAATATTGGGGACAGACGTTTGCAACATAAGTGTACAACCACTGCAACATAAGCAACATCCCGATCTAGTTTTGCAGCATCCATACGAAATCCTTGCAACATACCTGTAAACCAACTAAAACACATGGAACATACACTTGCAACATGTGCTTTCAGTGCAATGTCACCTTTGCTGCTTGGACGAATGGAGCTCGTCCTTGTGGAGATTGACGCCGGTGGCGAGCTTGATGCCACGGAGTGCTCGGAGGTCGCTAGTGCGGAGCTCGGCAACGGCACGGACCTCGGCAGTGGTCGTGGCAGATGGATGGAGCTCAGCCGCGACGGGAGGCACGAGTCCGGACAGCAGGGGCGGGGATGGCGCAAGCAGAGTTTGTCTCACGAGCGAGGGCGGCATGGGCGAGTGGAGTCCTTCCCGCGATGGCAGGCGGCACGGGCGAGCGGAGTTCCATCCCGCGATGGCGGGCGACGCCGGCAGGGGGGGCTGCACGGGCGGAGTCCATCCGAGCGGGGGCGGCGCGGGCAAGCAGAGTCGTCCTGTGAGTGGGGACACGGAGTGCAGAGCGAGCGTGCGACGCGGGTTGGGTCCGTGAATGAGTGGAGGAGGATGGATCCGTGAACGAGTGGATGAGGCTCGTTCGGACGGGAGTCATGCAAGGGATGGACGCACGGATACAATTAAGCATTATCGGTAATAAATTGGTGACGTTTTGACCTACTTTGACGGGTATATATCCATAAAATACAAAAAAGGTATACATTTTTTACAAAAAACAATTTTCATGACAAATCTACTCATATCACTTCAAACATTGAAAATGAATACTAAAAACAACCTAGCGAGAGTCAACGTTTGGAACAGTTGACTTTACACAACTTAAAAGATCAAATTTAATTTTGTCTCCGCACACCGCATTTGTATGATCCGATCCATACATTATTCCACACATAAAGACATGTTCTTGCACCCAATTACTGCCCCAATGTTGTCATGGCCCACATTTTGTACCTCTCCTTATTTTCAGTGAAGTAGGCGACGACTTGGTCCTTGTCCGGCATGCAGGGCTTGAGAGCTTCATTGGATTTGTACTCTTTGGCCCACTGGCATAGAGCAGGGAACTCGTTGTCGTCCACCAAGGTCACTCCAGTCACCTCCTCAAGCACGCTGAGCCAAAGACCTAAAGCACACGAGGCTATGTCGAGGTAGCCGGGCGTGTCGCCACCAAAGAACCTCTTCCTGTTGAGCTGCGCCTCCAGAAGCGTCAGGTTCTCCTTGGCCTCTTTCACCACAGCCTTCTGCGCCTCACCCTGCTCCGCCCAGTGTGCCAGACAGAACGGCCTAGAGCACTGTGTTCATTCAGCATTGTTGAGTAAAACCAGCAAATATTCATATTTCATAAGAACAGAACAGGTGAGGCCAGGTTCTAACAAATGCAGCAACATACCTTGTTTTCGATGAAGTCAGCCAAGAAACGAACCATGGCACGGTCGTAGGGGTCGTGTAAGCAGAGATCGGTAGCAGAAGGAATTGGGGAGGAATTTGGAGAATTGGGGAAGAACTCAGAGAGAAGGAGCAATACGCAAGGTAGGAGGAGGAAATATTAGTTCAGGTTCAGTTTGGCTAATATGTTTGTTACCCCTCTTCCAAGCCTTTCCTGCCCCTTTAATACATCGTCTCATGCCGTGCGCGAGTCACACAGGCGCAGTTGTGTCTAATCCTTCGACTCACGTCCACTCAGGCCATGTGATGAGCCGGTTCGGTCGCTAGGTGCGGTCGCTCTTCTTCCTTGGCACTGTGCCCGCCTTCCTACGTGCCGGACTGGCTACAGTGTTTTGTGCTTCTTCAGGCTTCTCGTGTTGCTGGCTGCTAACACCCCCCCCCCCTTCTTGAGAGCTGGCTTGTCCCCAAGCAGGAGCACGTGGGAACCTTTGCTTTAGTGCTTCGAGATCTTCCCATGTTGCTAAGGAGCGTGGCAACCTGGACCACTGAATCAACACTTGAGGAACAAAAGTATTGTCAGAAGTGCATACCCGTCGCTGAAGTACCTTGAGTGGATACTGATGACCATCGAACGACTGAGGAAGAGTGCAGACAGCATGAGAAGAGGGTACTGCCACTTTCAGCTGAGATACATGAAACACCAGGTGGATGGAAGTAGAAGCCGGGAGAGCAAGTTTGTAAGCCACAACACCAATTTTGTCCAGCACCTGAAAGGGACCAAAAAATTTGAATGCCAATTTCTGATTAGACCGTGAAGCGAGGGAAGCTTGCACATAGGGTTGGAGCTTCAGATAAACCCAATCACCAATTGAAAACTGCCTCTCTGATCGGGATTTGTTGGCTTGGTGCTTCATATGTTCCTGAACCCGAGTGAGATGTTGCTGAATCAGAGTAGTGATCAAAGATTTTTCCTCAACCCATTCAGACAGTGGCATTGATGGAGCAGCTGACTCAATAGTCAGTCCAAAGTGGCGAGGCTGCTGTCCATACAAGATGTAGAACGATGAGTATCCCAATGAAGAGTGTCACGTTGTGTTGTACCAGTACTCAGCAAGGTATATCCAGTCAAGCCATTTGGAGGGGTAAGCGCTGACAAAGCATCTCAAGAACGTTTCCATGCATTGATTCACACATTCTGTCTGCCCATCCATTTGAGGATGGTAAGTCGTGGACATTTTCAAGGTAACGTTGGCCAAACGAAATAACTCTTGCCATAATTGACTGGTGAAGACTCGATCTCTGTCAGAAACAATGGAATCCGGCAGGCCATGAAGACAGTATACCTACTGAAGAAATAGCTTGGCCACTGACAGAGCCGTATATGGATGAGCTAAGGGAAGGAAATGGGCATACCTAGAAAACCGATCTACCACCACCAAGATGCAATTCTTGCCACCGGATGATGGGAGCCCTTCAACAAAATCCATGGAAATGCTTTGCCATGCCATTGATGGAACGTGAAGTGGTTGCAGCAGTCCCGGGTAGCGTGCTCTGTCGGGCTTAGCTTGCTAACAAGTTAGGCAGGAAGACACAAACTGATGAACCGATGACTTGAGACCAGTCCGTGAGAATAGCTGTTTGATCCGGTTGTAAGTGGCCGAAAAACCAGAATGACCGCCCACGGCTGATGAATGAAATGCCTGAATGATTCGTTGCTGAAGACTTTTGTCAGCACTGATCCAGAGGCGACCCTTATGACAGAGCAAGCCTTGGTGTAACTCATAGTTGGGTTCATCAGAAGGAGATATGGCCAGATGATTGAGCAGGTACTTTGCTTTAGTGTCATCAGTGTAACTAGCAACGACCTCATCCAACCAAGAAGGCACAGGTGCAGAAATAGCAAACACTTCAGCAGAAGTAGCTCTGTGAGATAGTGCATCGGTAACTCGGCTGTCAGAACCTAGTTTGTACACAATGCGGTATTGCAAACCGAGAAGCTTGGTGAATACTTTCTGTTGCCAAGCCGTGTGTAACCGCTGCTCATTCAAATGGATTAAGCTCTTTTGGTCAGTGAAGATGAGAAACTCACCAAGTTGCAGGTAAGAGCGCCACTGTTCAACAACAATCAAGATCGTCATGTACTCTTTCTCATATGCTGAAAGACCTTGGTTCTTGGGGGCCGAGAGCTCGACAAAGAAATGCAGGTGGACGACCATTCTGTAGGAGCACAGCACCGACCCCCAAATTGGATGCATCAGTCTCAATGCAGAACTGCTGAGTGAAATCCGGCAATGCCAAGATAGGTGCTGAACTGGGGCACTCTTTCAGAGTATTGAACGTTGTAGTATGTTCAGTCGTCTAGATGAACAAGCTATGTTTTTTGAGTAGTGATGTCAGGGGCTTTGAAATGATAGCATAGTGGCGTACAAAGCGTCTGTAGAATCCCAAGAGACCCAGAAAGCTACGTAGCTCTTTAACATTAGATGGTTGTGGCCAGGACATAATATCAGCAACCTTGGACGGATCGGTGGCAACTTCCTGGGCACTGATAACGTGACCCAGGTAAGAGATCTCAGTCTGAACAAATTTACACTTGGATAATTTGATGTGCCATGATCGTTGGCGAGTAACGTGAACACTTGCCGAAGATGCTCAATATGTTCCTCCAGCATGCTACTATAAATAAGGATATCATCGAAGAAGACAATGGCACAACACCTGAGGAGGGGTTTGAGAGTTGTGTTCATAGCTCCCTGAAACGTGCCTGGTGCACCTGACAGTCCAAAAGCAACCACTCGAAACTCATAGTGCCCAACATGAGTGGAGAAAGCGGTCTTGTATTCTTCCCCCGGCCTCATTTGGATCTGGTGATAACCAAACAACAGATCAAGGGTGGAAAACCAGCGTGCACCTGCGAGCTCATCCATCAACTGCTCAAACACCGGATGGGAAAACAGTTTTAATTGTCAGGGCATTTAGGTAGCAGTAATCAACACGGAACCGTCAAGTTTTGTCCTTCTTACGAACCAACAATACTGGTGAATTGAAAGGAGAAGTACTGGGTTGTATGATTCCCTGCTGAAGCATTGCATCAACCTATGCTTTGATCTCATCTTTCAGAGCAGGAGGATACCGGTATGGTCTGACAGTGATCGGCTGTGCCCCTTCAATCAGTGGAATAGCATGGTCACAATCACGCTGGGGCAGGAGCTCATTTGGTGGAGCCGTCAATTGAGGAAACTCAGAAAGCAACTATTGTATATTTGATAGAATGTCAGGAGGGCAGTCTTGTGATACTGACGAGAGACCAAAAAGTTGTACCAACAATTCGGTGTCACTATCAGAACTAGATGAGGAAAGGCCGTGCAGACGAACTGTAGCTCCATGGCAAGGAATAGCCAACCAATGATCCTTCCAATCAACCTTCATAGGACTGAAAAGTTGGAGCCAATCCATGCCCAAGATAACATCATAAGTACTGAGTGGTAATACTTTCGAGTCATGTTGAAACTAATAGTGGTCTATAGACCAAACTGCGGCCTAAATGTAAGTGGAACAAGACATACTCTCGCCGTTAGCAACCCTGACTGACAGTGGCTTGCACTGAATTTGAGGAACAGATAATTGGTGCACCAGTTCCTTACTGATGAAAGAGGATGAGCTGCCGGAATCAAGTAAGATCAAGATGGGCTGGTTCTAAAAATGGCCTTGAAACTGCAACGTCTTGACCCCCGAGATCATAGCCTGTCCACTGGCATCAATAGTCAAGCAGAGACATAACTGTTCCTCGTCATCGTCATTTGCCGGACTATCTACAATGTCGTCATCAACAAATAGAGCATATAACTCATCTAGCACATTGAGACCAACTTGAGCAGCACACTTGTGGTCTCTACTCCACTTCTCACCACAATGATCACACAGGCCACGAGCACGATGAAAGGCCTTCAAGTCAGCTAGCTTGCGATCAATTGGTTTGGGCCCATACCCTAGCCGGTCAGCACCACCCGCACCCGGAGGCGCCTTGTCAGTGCCCGGCATCAGCTGCTATGGAGGAGCCCCCTTGACGTTCCATCATGGAGGAAACACGCCATTACCGTGCCTGAGTTCCTGCCTCCGCGGAGGATCTCCAGCTTCTTCCTGCTGCAATGCAAGAGTGTACGCAGTATCCAACGAATCGGGGCGTTGAACAAGCAAAACAGCACAAATGTCTAGGTATAGGCCATCAACAAAACGAGTGATGTAATGCAGTATGTTTGTGGTGGAATCATAGGCATTAAGCTGATCGATAAGCTCCTAGAAACAGTCAATGTAATCCTGCACAGAAGAATTCTGGCGGATGCGATTGAGTTGACGCAGAAGGAACTCATGCTGGTCGCGATTCAAATCGAGTATGTAATGCACGGCAGAAAGCAGACCATTGCATGTTTTTGAGCTGGGGTGTAACAGATTGGATCCAACGCTTAGCTGGTCCTGTGAATTGCATGCGGGAACACTGAATCCACACTGCGGGATCAACAGAGTACATCTGGAAATAATCTTCCGCGCATGTAATCCACAAACGAAGATCAATGCCATCAAAGGAAGGAAAATTCATTTTAGAGAGCTTGCCGGTAGGATTGTGGGGTAAATCGGGTGGGCGATTGTGAGCTTGAATGAGATCAGATGCTGTGGCATGTAATTTGGAAGAAGGAGCAGAGGAATTGGCCATACCCATGACCGGGGAATGAGTGTAGGTGGTGACAACCTCAAACTCATTTCTCCCGGTGGTGATGTTCGATGTGGTGCCCATTAGGCCGAGCAGCCATATAGCCAGCAGGTGAGGGTGCGGCGTGCTGCTCTGACTTGAGCGGCGGATCAGGGAAGATCGCCGGCTCGACGTGAACAGCGGCGGTCTCGATCACAG